GGGGATGAACAATCAGCACAGGAGATAATTTCTTCAGGCCAGCAGGTTGTGAAAGCTTGGGGAAATTATTATTTTGATCAACTCAACAGAGGTAGAAAAATTTATGTCTCTATTTTTTTTTTAATTTAAGCCCTGATCTGAGAGTTAACCAAGATCTGTATAACCACACAGGCCCTCAGAGCTGCACAGGGATGAATATCCACAGTGGCAGCTCGTGTTAGGGGATGTATCAGTCAAGCTTAAATTTACAGACCCTACAAGAACCACCCGTGTCCTCCTCCTCACCCTCACAGAACTGGCCTGGTTTTGCACACCTGACATTGTTAGTGCAGCTCTCACCCTCTCCAGAAATACACACATAACACACAGCAACTACACTGAAAAGCCTGAGTGAAATCCAGGCCTCAAAGCTTGACTTTCTTGGGAAATGAGGAAGTCAATGACAATAACAAATATTGTAGGTTTGAAAGCAACCACTTCTGTCAGGAGAAGATTCTAAAACCAGCAGAAAGTAGCCAGTTTTCCACGTGTCCCTGCAGGCACAGCAGCTCATGGCTGCACAGACTCTCCCAGCAGGAAAACACCAGAGCAGTTTCTTGTACTTTCACACTGCTGCCCAAGTGTGATTAAACTCAGCATCTACTTTTATACGTGTTCAAAATCCAAGTTTTCCTTCCCTCTGTGCCAGGTAGTGAACAACCAAAACCACCACATATCCCATGTGCTTTGGAGCAAAGAGCCTGAGCTCCAGGCCTGCACAATAAACCTCAGCCACACCACCTCTGCTCTCCTTCAAGAAAAGGTTAAACTGGAAGACAGCCCCTGCCTACAGGCACTTGGGAACAATGGGCTGATTTTTCTGCCACCAATTATTGCCCTGGATAAGTATCAAGTATGTAGAATTATAATTTAACATACATCACACTCCTAAACTTAAGGGGCTACTGACCTGTTGGAAGTTCAGCAGAGCTGATGCTCTGCCCTCCCCCTGCAGGGAGCTGCCTGGTTATTTTGGGTCCCCTCACCAGGACAGCGCTGCCAAAGCCTTCCCAGCACCGTGTAACAGCCACGTGTGGAGAAAGGGAAAAGCATCCATCACAAGAGACACTTCCTGGCCGCTCAGCTCTGCAGAGTCACAGTGTTTTAGAAAGTAACACCAGAATTAGGGTAACCATTGCAGCCTGACAGTTCTGAAGTCAAAAGACACCACGGATCTGTTAGAATTTTATTAAAGTAGGTTGGCGCTCGGTCTCAGGCAGAGTGAAAAATCTGCAGCCACAGAGAGAGAGCTCAGAGCAGACAGGATTCATGAAGTGCCCCAACTGATATTTCAGCAAGATCCATGGTGAAGCACTGCAAACTCAGACAGCTCCAACGTTTAACAGCCCACAATTACCACCAGCATTCCTCACTGTTACTCCAGTGTGTAACACTGCAGCTGTGACAGACCCAGCACAGGGGGTTCTACAGAACCTACAAGGTCACAGTGATTTTTCTTCAGTCCCCACTTCAGGCCACTCCAGGGGGGCTCCAAACGGCAGTAACTTTATTGGCTGCTTTAGGACTTTGATACAGGCCTACCACAAAAAAGCACTTGTTCAGACAGCAGCAGGTATGACTTTAACAGAACCAAAACACTGTTTCATACCCCCCAGCCCCTGGAACAACACCCACACGTTCAGCCTGATGTTCAGGCTGCCCCCACAAACTGCAGATGGCCAAGACAGACCCACGTCTGCATCCTGCAGTGGTGACTGTTGATCTAAGCCTCAAAAATCAGGACAGATTGCGGGCTCTGCAGTCCTCTCACAGCAATAAACACCTAAGCAGAGAATTGCTCGGACGAGCCAAAAAAAAGCCTCAAAAGGAGTAAGCGATCCTTCAGATAACCACCACTTAGGGCCACTTACAGGTGAAACACACGCTGACTCCTGTGCTCACACCACATCCCAGAAGGAGCACATAAGCTCATTACGGCGCTGCAGGAAGGGATAAAAAGCGAAGACCGAGGCTGCTCGGCGCTGGAGCGGCTCCAGAGCCCCGGGGCGGCCCCGGAGCGTCCGCGGGGCCCGAGGAACAGGTGGG